CGGGTGGGGCGGCGGCGGAGGAAAGTTTGGAGGTGCGGATCCCGGAGGAATATTGTCACTAAGCCGGGAATAAAGCGGGGTTAGCATTTGGGTTCTCCTCTGGTCGCTCCTAAAGTTAGGGGTGTTTTATCGCTGTGTTTTACGCTAAAGAAGTTCGTGCTGTAGGTTGAAGGCCGTTGGGAGTTGACTGGGCATCTTGCAGCTTTGTGGGTGCGTGAGGTGACCACCGTCACCCCGGGCAGTTTGGGGAGGTGGTGTAAGGCCGCATTCCAAACTGCCTTTGGAAACCTGCCAACTCAGTGTCGTGACTTGTGCCATATACAGAATTTCTCAGGGAGAATCGTACACAGAATCACAAAACGAATTAGGTTGGAAAAGGCCTGCGAGATCATCGGGTCCAACCCTTGACTGAACACCACCATGTCAATTACACCGTGGCACAAAGTGCTGCCCCTGGTACTTCCTTAAACACCAAAGCAGTCCTGTGGAGTTTGGAAAACCTTGTTTTATTCTTAGGTGGTTTTTTTTTTCTAATCCAAAATAAAAAAATTAATCCTTTTGTGAGAAAGCAATATATTTTCCTATCAATTAGAATTCTATGGGGCTTTTTATTACCAGCTAATCAATCGTGTTTCAGAGTCTCACAAAATAATAGAATCAAATAAAATGTACTTCGTTCCTGCTAAACAAATGTACAAGTACTTGCATTTGGACCAAACACTAAACATTAATGAAAGTGTAACGCAGGAAGCCATATCATGGATTTGCAGAAGTCTTGGAGGTAATTGCTCTTTTATATTTAATGTTGTTTTTCTTACTGTCATCTTACTGTTCACACAGTTTCAATATAAAGAAAAAGAATGGTCTGCAGTTTTGCATCTTGTTTTGTTTTCTTGTTTTATATTTTGGATGCTGTTTTATTTTTCTTTGACTAGCATTTGCCATTATGGGTTTAAGTAGAGCCGTAGGGGGGAGTACTTGTGGAATTTTGCTGTCAAGTGTGAAGATTCCACTTGCACGCAGCAGCTGCTGCAGTTTCACTGCCTTTTGTTGTAGGTGACCAAACCCACGGCAGAGCTGGCATCTCCCCATGGCAAAATGTGACGTCTTTGTTCAGCCTCCACCCTGCCCTGGCTTTAAACTGAGGTGATGACTGGTATCTGAAGCAGCTGACAAATGAACACATCCTGAGATGGCAGTGGTGGCTTCTGTCAGCTGAGTACAGCAGATGGCCAGCATCAGCAGTGTCTTATAGTGAGGTGTGATGTGTTTGTTAAAATTTAGATGGTGATTTTTAGAGAAAAGTAAAATTTCTCTCATTTAAATACTGGTTTATAATGCCCTCCCTAGGATGTACTATGTACTGTTTCTGGTCTCTCCTTTCCTTACATGGTTCTGTTCTTCACCATGTCTCCTTTCCCCAAACTGTCTTTTTTTGTACTTGCTTCTTCTTTCACACTTTTCTGTTATTGACACTTAGTCATATTAATCTATGTTTTTTCTTCCCTTGGCATGTTCCTACTCTTTCTAGTGAGTTAAGTTGCTCTGTTTCTACCCTTGGCACTCCTGGACAATGGCAAGATAGAGCCCAGAGCATGGTAAGATACGTCTCTTTAACCCAATTTAAGGAATCAAATTTGCAAGTTTTGCTCAGCATAGAGAGGGACTTTTTGGAGATCTTGTCTCTTAACATGGTATGATTTCAGAATTTTCTAACACTAAATGTGATTAAGGCAGTAAAAATGCACTCTCAGCCTTTTATGGGTATCCAAAAGAGTTCGAATTATTGTTTAAAAGCACTGTGGCTTTCTGAGTAAACTTGTCTAGTGTTTGCTCTTTCAGCAAAATAATATATTCTTGGGTCTTGTCCTCATAGATTGCATTCCTTTGGCTTTGACCTGAAACAAGGATCTAGCTTAATAGAAGTTTTACTGTCTATTCCTTCCACTGCCCTCCTCAAAGCAGCAAATACTTTAGATAAAGTGACTACTTGTCACAGTAGGAGGTAGGTATAGCCCTTCTGATGAGGCCCAAAACAAGTATCTCATCCTTCTCCTGTAACAAACTGACTTTTCAAGATGTGACCTAAGTGTTTTAAGGCAACAGGAAAGGATGCTTTTATGCTTGAGGCACAGAATTTGCATTAAACTTTAGATTTTGGTGCTCCAAAATTATCTTAGAGATTTAGGATTGAACCTTGCAAGGGACCTGGATGTTTGTGTGCTTGTTTCTGCTGATTGCCCACCAGAACTGCAGTCCAGAGCCCTGAGTGTGATTTGGGGTCTGGGAGGTCTCCTGGCAGGAGAGCGCTTGTTGAGTATTACCTGATATTCTCATCTGGGTCGTTTCAAGATCCATTTTAGATTTGCCTCTCTTGAGTTCTATGTGGTGTCTGATCAAAGTGCTGTGGAGAGCCTGTGTCATCAGCTGGGCTTATTGCCCAGACCTGGTGTGTGTCCTGTCCTTGCAGGTGCTACATGTGGGTGGCTGGGCCTGGAAGTTGGGCTTCTTAGCAGAAACTACTTCTTTGAAACCCCAGGTTTGAGATTTAGCTACAATATATAGCTTGGTGTTTCCTTGTCAGTTTCAGGGAACTGCAGTCAAATAGCAATTGAATGAGGAGCAACAATTCTTTAATAATAAATCTTTTAAGTATTTGTGCAATCCAGATAAGTTACCTGGATGTGTTGCCTCCTTTCAGCTCGATGTTCATAGAACTAACAAATGGGAAAAAAAGTAAAGTGTACACAATGTTTTTCAATGACAGCAATTGAGAAATATTTCAGAGTTCACAGATACATTATTTCTAAGCATAAGCTCTACCCAAGTTAAATAAAGATCCTTTGTAACATAAAGCTCTAAGCAGATACAAGATTTTTATTTTGTTCCAGTGGTATTATGATTTGAAGATGCAATTGGTTTTCATTCTAGGCTATAATGGAAATAGGGAAGTTATTGAAATTAATTCAGACTTCAATAAATTTTCTCTCTTGCCTAGAAATTATGACCTTTTGATACATGATACATTGTAGTAAACTGTTGGACAGTATGCAAACCCATCTTTATAGTTAGCCACAGGAAGCATTTTTAAATAGTATCTGTAAACTGCCAGTATTGAAGATTTTCTTTTAATTAACACAGCCTGATAGTAAAAAAGGTTTTATTGTTTCCCCAGCTTTATAGTTAGCCACAGGAAGCATTTTTAAATAGTATCTGTAAAGTGCTAATATTGAAGATTTTTTTTTTAATTAACAGAGCTGATAATTAAGGTCTTATTGTTTAGAATACAGACACTGTTTCTGAGTTCAGGAACTGCTCCATCATTTTCACATCTCAGCATTTTCCTTTTCTGTTCAGCCACAGGGTACTGCCATGTGCTAAAATGGCACTGTGAAAGCTAAAACCTTGATGGTCTGTGTTAAAGAGATAAGGAAGAACGCGTACCTTTTGAAGGGGAGTGCCAGTTTCTTTATACTAAGTGCCTGACTGATAACACTGTTTGCTTTTGGTAGCCTACTTAGTCTAGATAATCTTTTGAGCCCAGCCAAACCCAAGTTCTGAGTAATTCCTTAAAAAAAAAAAGTGGGGAAAAAAATACATGTCAAGACCTCAGAGATCTGTATTTTGAGTCTTCTTGAAGTTGGGCAGAAGCAATTTTGCTCGCTTGTTTTTGGGGCTGTTCTTCATTCATACAAAGAACTGTATGTCTGTTTACAGAACTTGTGAAGGAGAAATAATTTTGGCAACAGAACAGGGAAAGAAGTGTCATTCTCAAGCAGTCATGACGTGGGAAAGGTAATAGTTAATTACTTTGTAATGTGCCTGAAGCAAACAAAGCAACAGGTTTGTGCAGTGGGATTGTTTTCCCCAATGCCAAGTGCAGCTGAGGAAATTGGAATGTACTGAACCAAGTTTGGTCAGGAATATTGCCTCAAATATGCTTTGTCTTCTTCTCCTCACTTTAAGAACTAGTTAATTATTGAGCCTTGGGAGGTACTACCAGGGTTGGAAAGATGGGTGGGCAGAGGAAGAGGTACTAGAGCTGGGGCTGGGTAAGAAGCTGTTCTGTGAAGGCTCTGTCTGGAGGAGAGGAACAGTGAGATGCAGGAGCAGGGCAAGTCCATGCCCAGCTGTCACTGACTGCACTGAGGACAAACTCTGCTGCTCTGGGTCTTCTGACAGTTCTCTCTCACCCCTTCTTCCTTCCCATGAGTGAGCTTTGTTCTGTTCCATACTTGTCCCTAGTACAGCACCTTCTCTCAGCCACATCCTCTGCTTCATTTCAGTCTGCCTGATACAGTCTTCCCTCCTCACTAAAAAACCACCAAATCAAGGTATTGTGAAAACCAGGTTGGTGTTTCCCGCTGCCTTTTATTAGCTACAATCAGAGTTGGTTAACTCTGAGGCTTGTTCCCTTCACCAGTAGCTGCAGTATTTCTTCCTGAAGACCTGAAGTAGTTTAATCAAAAACATTTGGGTATTGTGCTGCTGTTCCTGAGTGTCCTCATAAGTGCCACACAGTGACTGCTAAATGCGTACTTGAGGAGACAAAATTATTGCCATATTTCTATTCAAGCACCTAGCTTGTAGACTGTTAAAGATGCAGAATTTTGGGGAGAAGGTGGGTGAGATGGTGTAGGGAGGAGACAGGAAGAAAGCATAGTAAGTATCCTACTCTGTTCTCTCCCCAGGTGAGAATGCTATCCCAGCTGAGATGTTTCAAGCTTTTTCATATACATCCTCTAAGGTTGCCAGCTCAGTCTTCTCTAAGGCAGTCTGTTCTGGGGCCTTACTCTCCTTAACTTGGAAAACATTTTTCTAATTGCTGACCCAAGTTTCTATTTTTGCAGTTCCTTCTCATTCTATCCCCAGTGGAATTGCAGAATTTTTTTTTTTCTTTTCTTTCTTTGTTACTTTTTTTTTTTCCCCCCTAATAGAGCCATGCTGCTTTTCCAGGGTGTGCATTTGAAAGTGTTCTGGTCTGTGGTGCTGACTCAGAGAGTAGGTCAGACTGGAGTGACTTCTGGCATGAACAGATAATCTGCTTCAGATGGGCACTGCTGAATTAGCACGTGTACAGGATAGTGATTCCTGTGCCAGCATGCACCAATCTGTGATTCCCTGTTCCAGAGGAAGCTGCTATTGCTGTGCTATGTGCACACCTTATGCATGGTAAAGTGCCAGACCTTTCGTGTTGTGGGGATTTTGTGTAGCTATTCCCTTTACAAAAGGTTGATGGTAATACCATAAGATTGTGTTGCTTGAGAGAATACATGAACTTTTCACTGCACCAGCTGCAGGTCATTCAATTGCGAGGAGAACCAGAAGGACCAAATAGCAAAGGATGCTTTGGTCGGTTTCAACAGGTAAAGTCCTTCAGCTGTTCACTGTGACTGAGATTACCCATATACAGGACAAATTTCTGTGGTCCATGTCTGCCCTGAAATTTTCTCATAGGTCTCAGTCCAGGCTCTTTGACCATTTTATTATGGTCCTGCCACCTTTCAATCAGTAGCCTGTGATCTCCTAACCCAGTGCTGCAATCCTGCTGGTCTGAGACACCAGCCTGCAGCTCCTCTAGTGCAGCCCTGCAGGCACTGCCAACCTGTGATTAATTATACCAGTTCACACGGTGAGCCAAAGAAAACTGCAGGGACCATCTGAAAACCAAGGGCACAGAGGAAAAGTCAAAATAAAACTGAAGTAGAATGTGATTCACAGGCATGTGTGAAACTGAAGGAGGGCAGAGAGGCAGAGTAGGTGGCAGGGCTGGGCTGTGTGCCTCCTGCAGCCTGATGCTGAGCACTGGGGTCGGTCTGGGCAGGGGCAGTGTTGCATGGGAAGGATGCTTACTGAGGAAGGAGGGTGCAGGGCATGGAGACACATACTTGAATGAGATTTTGTTGACTCTCTGCTGGCTTGATTGAGCTCTCACACCTCACAGTGGTCAATATGTATCGGCTCCACAATGCTGGACCCGCCCAAGGATCTTGTGGATTTGTTTGCCAAGCTCCCTTTCCACCCTGCCAGCCCAATTTCTGTTTTGTGCTCCCATTTCCAGTGTGACTTTGCATCAGTGGCAGGAGGGTCTAGGCAAGCATGTTTTAGAGTTGGACACATGACCTGAGATCTGAGGAAGGAACAGACGTGCAAATAGCAGAGAGAAGGTGCAAACAGGATTGAAAGATTCTGTGATTGAAGGGAGCTGGTGGCGTGGAGGATAAAGGGGCAGATGGAGAACAAAAAGAAACAGACCATAAATCCTCCAAGGTCCTGTGCAGGGCCAGGGGTTGGCCTGCACTCTTGTGCAAAAGTGATTCTTGTGGGTCCCTTCCAACTCGGGACATTCTAAGATTCTACATAGGAAGTGTCATGAAACTCTGCTCATGTAAGTTAAACAAACGAATGTTTGGACAAATGTGTTCCACTGTGAGGAGTTTATTTCAGTAAATGCCTTTAATCCAATTTTAGGACATTGCAGTTCAATTTATTGTGTTGCTAAACTGTGGGCCTTACTTGTGAAAGGAGCCAGACTGCTTGCCCATAGCATGACATGGGTTTTGTGGCCAAAGCTGATGCTGTTCCCCCCTCCACTTCTGACACCACAGCAAAGTTCTTGTCTCAGCTCAAGGGGATGTGACTAGCCATCAGCCACTGCCCTGCAATACAGCTCTTACCTGTTTGAGGTGGGGAGCAGTGTGCTGCCATTGTTGCATACTGTGATAACTGTTCTGTTGAGGTATGTTTTGTGGTCTCTGGCTTCTAAAGCACTTGGGGTTACAGTTGGGACCCATTGTGGCCAAACTTGGTGTTTTTGCAGACTGAGAGTGTGGCCCTGCCTGGCCATCCTTTAGAGGGCACTGACTGACTGTGGTTCCATCATCTGCTGAATGTACCCAGGGACTTGTTGCCACTGAGAGAAGGACCATTCCCCTTTCCTGCTCCCTTCTTCCCTTGTACCCAGAGCTTTTTTCCATTCTCCAGCCCATGCTGTCCTGATCACTTCCCTTTTAAGGGCTGGTTGGATGCAGGGTTGGTTTTTATTCTTTGCACTGAGCTAATTTGGGATGTTTTAGTGATTTAGATCTGCTCTCAGAGACAGAGACACAAGATGGTAGCAGGGTGTGTGGCCCAGAGACAAAGGGAAACTATTGCAGTGCTGATAAAATGCTAAATGACCTTATGCCTCCTGTGGAATTATGTCATTTGCAGCACAATTCTGGAGAAATAATTAATTTTGGTCACCCTGTTTTGCCTAAAAAAGGGGGAGAGCAGAAGGGAAGGGGACATCTAAGGGATGAGTAATGGTGAAAGGACTGAAGAAAGAAATGTGTCATGAGGGGCTTCAGATCCTGGGGCTGGGGATTGAAAGAGGATTTCAATGACTGTCCAGAGTAAGGGGGATTTCACTAAGAACTGTAAGAGGTGTCTAGGGCAGGATTAAATGTCCAACATGTTTGGCTCATGTCCCTTTTGTCCTCACAGAAGGGCAGGGCCCAACTGGTGTGGAAAATAGATGTGTCTCTGGCTAAGCACCTGGGTCTCTCTGAAGACCTGAATACTTCTCCCTTTGCTGTCACATTATTGGTGTTAGATAAAACACATTCTTTTTTTTTTTGTTGTTGTTGTGTAAGGTCATCAATTTATACTCCTAGAACTGCCTCCATCCCTCTTGCCAGTTTTGCACCTTTCCACTTGGGCTTTGTATGAGTCTGCCAAGAAAGAAAGTCAGTGGGCAGAGGAAGAGGAGCACTGGGCTGGAAGTGGAGCAGGAACTCTCCTGCCAACCAAGATAACCACAAAGCCAAAGGACCCATCTGTGGGTGGTCCTTGGCCCCTCAGCAGCTGGGGCTATTTTCATCCTAGCTAAGAGTGACTCTGCTTCCCCTGGTGCAAGGCAGTCAAACCTGTCCAGTTACCTGCAGCCCCAAGGGGAAGGTAATAAAATGCCAGGTAAAGCAAAAATTAGCAAAATATATAACAATATACAAATTTCCCACCCTTCCTAGGCAAGATGACAATTCACTGCCTTTGACTGAGAAGCTGAAGCAATTGGACTGTTATTTTGAAGCATGTGTTGAACTGGGACTGCTCGAGTCTCAGCCATCCCTGCAGAGGAGCAGAGCAAAAGCACTGGCTGCTGTAGCCTGCAGTACATGCAGCCTGCTTGTGGGTGGCTTAGAGGCATCTGAACATTTTGGTACTTTTCTGCTTCTAGAAATGTTCATCCTGCTCTAAGCATCCTTACCTCGATGTCCATCCATACGTTGCATGCAGCTGCCTAGCTTATGGGTGCTGTAGGGAGAAATCCCAAACCCTTAGTTATGATGTTGTGTTGTTCCCATGCAAACTCACTGGAGAGCCTCATGATGAATGCCTGGTGAGGGCTTCCTCTCTGAGGCTGATGTGTTTGGTGGATACAGTAAAAGAGGCAGATGCTGGTGACTGGGCCCAGAGAAGTGAGTTACCAGTGGTTCATTGCAGCATCAGCCTTGCTCCACCTTGGTCAGGACTGGGTTCCAGGGGTATTTTATGGTGCAGCATGAGCTCTGCTCCACAGTTGTGAGGAAGGGTCCGTAGTGATGCAGTGTCCCCAGCCAAATGCAAAGGAGAACCACTTAATTGCTAAAAACAGGCCTTTTAAAGCAGTTAGGCCTTTATCAGTTACATAGTTTTAAATCATAACAAACATAATTCAACCAACCACTATACACTACCATGTGAATATGTGATAGTTGTGTAGCTTATTTTTCTACCTCTAATTCAGGTGAGTCTCTTTCCCACAGAGACTCACAGTCCTTTTCTACTTAGATGAAGTAATAGGCTTGAGCCATGATTTTACAATGCCTTCTTTTTGTAAGGTTTTACATATATGCAACACATCAACTTATAGCTGATGACTGAGAGGAGAAGGGAAGGGTAAAGCATGGCACCAGGGCTGTGTATAATCCATCCAAAAGGGGACTGGAAGAAATGGAGCATGGAGGGAATTACATCTAGGCCAGCACTGCAGACTTCACGCAAAACAGCTTCAGAAACATCTCTGATACTCTCTTTGATTGGCCTGCATAGTCTGGGGAGCATCCTGAGTTGCTCTGGGGCAAACCCTTCCATCCTGGTTCCTACAACACTTACATGCTGCCTTCCCCCTTTATCTGCACTTTCTCTGTTGGTACAAGTGACAGGACCCTCTGAATAAGCAAAGGATGTTAGCTGTCATCCACTGAGGATGTGGCAAAGGCCTGTGGACAAGCAATACTCTAAACATACCTGCTTAAGATGAAAGATGAACATTACAAGGCTAGTGATTCTTAACTACAGTAGAATGAGCACAGTGAAACCCAAAACAAAAGGGAAAATTAAATAGAAAAGCTACTAAAAATGTCATTGCAAAAATGACTTAAATAAATATATAAATTTTCATATACTGCAAGCTGCCAGTTTTTGAAAGCATCAGGAAACAAGCTGTGGAGCACTGGAATGGATAAAACCTGGTTCCCAAAATGCAGCTCTACTGAGCTGCCTGGCCCATGAAATCTCATTGCCAGTGATGCTGCTGTTGGGCCAGAGGCAGGCAGGGGCATGGCCAACCCACGTGCTGAGGGGTGGCTGGGGCATCTGCTGAGTGGCCACCAGACCACGTTCCTACCAGGTGAGCTCAGCCTTCCTTCCAGGGACAGGGCTGCTGCTATCTATTTCTTCTATGCCCAGCTACCAATTTTCAGTAAATTTATCAGAACTCCGCTGTCTTTGAGGCATCTTGGTCAAATTTGGTCAAGGTTACCTAGTAATACTGGGGGAAAAAACAGGAAGTCAGGCCTTGGGATTATACAAGTCTCTTGCCTTTATGAAATGCAGACTGAAAATAAATCCAGAGCTCAGAAAAATAGCAAATGCCTGTGGCTGTTGCAGGGTGCCAGAGAATGGCACAGGCAATGTGCTTTGTGGCACAGAGGTACACAGTACTTTTGCCAAACATGACGCTGAGCTGAGCATGCAGCACCAGAGGGGATGTCCAGCCAGCACAGGGATGGGCATCACAGTGCAGATCTTCACCTAGTGGGAATCTGCTGCTGCTGTTTTCTGCTGCTCTCAGCCTAGACTGTGCCTATTGCGTGCAAGGTGTGAAGGCCTTCAACAGGTCAGATGCCCCTACTAAGACAAGGGATGTTCAGGTACTTCAGTGACCTTGAGTGTGAAAGTCTTTATGAATGTGCACTTGGATTTGGAGGGGCAAAAAAAGGTCTTTGATCATCACAAGGATCTGACTTACTCATGGATGTAGACTGATTTCTTCTAATTGGCTAGGGGGGGTTTTCCAGGTATTTTTCTCTGTAAGAACAAGTCTGTTTCATCCAGCTGCACTATTCAGCTCTGCTGCTGATGTTTTTGTTTTCTCTGCCTGTGGTATTCTGCATGGGCATGAATAAGCAGGTATCACTACTGCACACTGGCAGTCTCTCAAGGGATCTGCAGCAAACAGTGAGCACAGTGATCCAAAATCACCTTCCATATCATGTTGGCAAAGAACAAAGCCCAAGGGCACTGATGCCAGCTAGCATAGCTTGGCAGGGAGGGATGGGGGAGTTCTAACTCCTCCATGTCTTTTCTGACATCACTGCCCCATGGGGTTCATACTGGGTGTTGTTCAGCAGTCCCTGTGCTCCTCAGGGTTGCAGCCAGCTTTGCATGGCAGCGACACAGCTTCGATGGAGTGAAAAGAAGGTTAACAACAGTCTCTGCTTCCTGCAATAGTGCTGCTGCAGCCAGCTTACTGGTCTTCAAAAATAAGTTGTCACTTGTTCAGCTGTTTTACATAAAAGCAATTCCCCCTCTATCTTCATAAGAGCTGGCTGGACAGCTCAGACTTAACAGCTTCAATTTCTTCCCCAGGGCACAACCAAGATGTTGCTGGTTTTTTATCCAAAAATTTCCCAAATCAAGGAGGAAGTCTGCATTGGGGGTCCTGGTGGACAACAAGCTGCCCGTGAGCCAGCAGTGCCCTTGTGGCCAAGAAAACCAAAGTTATCCTGGAGTGCATTAGGATAGGGTGCCAGGAAGTTGAGGGAGGTGATCCTGTCCCTCTGCTCAGCCTTGGTGAAGCCTCACCTGGAGTTCTGTGTCCAGTTCTTAGATTTCCAGTTCAAGAAGGACAAGGAAATACTGGAGAGGGTCCAGCAGAGGGCAATGAAGATGATTCACAGAGTCATGAGGTTGGTTAGCATTGGAAGTGGCCTCTGGAGATCATCTAGTCCAATTGAATAGGGGTTTGGAGCACCTCAGTTTTGAGGAGGGGCTGAAGGAGCTGGGCCTGTTTAGCCTGGAGAAGGAGAGTATCAAAAGGATGCAGCCAGGCTCTTCCTGGTGGTGCTGAACGATAGGACAAGAGGTAGCAAGAAGAAACTGGTGCACAGTAAGCTCTGACTGAACATGAGGAAGAACAACTTTACTGTGAGGGTGACAAAGCACCGGAACAAGCTGACCAGAGGGGCTGTGGAATCTCCTTCTGGAATGATTCAAAAGCTACCTGGATACAATCCTGAGTAATGAGCTCTTGAGACCCAGCTCATGCAGGGAGGTGGAAGCAGATGATTTCCAGTGGTCCCTTCCAACCTTACCCATTCTGTGAAGTGATTCTGTGAAGAATGTGGAACAGAAAAACAGGGCTGGCTTCCCATGGCTCTTCATTCTCACTTTCTGAGTGATTCTGTCATTTTGAGAGTGAAAACAATCCTGTATTTTGCTCCAGAAGGATCAACCCAGGAAGGTATGAGTGTCTCAAAACAGATCACAGGAAATTCTGCTGCTAATTAGCTTTGGCTTCCCTGATTTTCTGTATAATTTTATGTTTGCTACATCTTCATAGATGAAGCCTTCTGCTACTGTGTAGCCAAATGCTACAGTATGGCGCAGTTTGGTCCCATTTGGCCCAAAATGGTCCCATTTTGGGACTGGAGCACCAAAATGAAAGGCTTTCTTTTCTGCATTTTGTTCCCTTGTAAAGGGATTTGCCTCCATGAATTACCTGATGTCCAGTTACCTGTACCTGCCGCTCATCTCTGCTCTTCAATTTTCCTGCCTATCCCCTTTCCATCTTTGTTCTTATTGCTGGGTCCACATGAAAACCAGTTTTTTTTATAGCCAGAATGTACCACTAATTCCCACTTCCAGGGAGCAAACAGGAGCCCTGACATGTATTGCTTGGCTTGTCAGAAAGCAGGGTTGTATGGTGAAAAACTGCGGAAGGCAGGAACACACAACCGGTTGTGCAACTCCCTTCCCTGAAGGGAAGAGTTTGCCGTTACCTAAGCAGAGCAAGTCCAAGCAGCCAGCACTCCTTCCACACTGCTGTCTCCTGCCTGTGCTGTGAGGGAAAAAAATGGGGGGAAGGAGATGGCCTGGAAATGCTGAGTCTTGGCTAAGACAACAGGCTGCTAGCACATTGTGCAGGCAAGGCATAGATTTGGGCCATCTCCAAGCACCTCTGAGCTACCTGCAGGAAGTGCTTGATGCCAACTGAAGAGCCATAGGGAAAAGTGAACCCAGTTGAACCCAGCTGCCTGTGTGGGTGAACCTCTCACTGCCAGGCCTGCTGCTGGTGGTGAGGCACTCTGCAGCTCCCCTTTCCCCCACTGTACACACCACATGCATCTTCAAATTGCTTCTCCTCATCCCCCTTTTCCCCCTTTGCAAAATGGTCAGAACAAGAGTTCTATCCAAGAGTTTCCTGTTCTCTGAGGAAGTGAATAAAAAAGTAAAAAAAAAAAATCTGTAATTATTGTATTGTTTCTTGCTTAGCCTCCTGACAGATCCCTAGCTGTTTGCTTGGACCATTTGAAGACCCTTGGTTGCTGCCCCATTCTCTGCTCACACAGAAGTTTGTGGCCAGGTTGTGGTTGCTGAACATGAATCACCTGCTCTCTAGAGCCTGACGGTTTCCTGTGTCCCAGTCCTTCTCCTGCAAACAGCTACCAGACAGATTGTTTTAAGCCACAGCTCGTTTTAAGCCACAGCCATACTTTTTAAGCATTCCCTATTGTTAGTATGGAGATTATACAAGATTTTTTTTTCTCAGTCACTAATGAAATCGGCCTGAAAGGCAAACTGGAAGCAGAGGGGTCCCAGCTTGGTCTTATTTGGTGTAGAATGTCCCATGCCTCATCAAGGTGCTGGAGCACATTCTGCATCCATGTGCTGCTCATGAACTGGATTGTGTTTTGAATCTCCACCTGGGGACGATTCCCAGACTGAAAACCAGTAGGTATCACACCTACCTCCTTATGACCTTCACATAGGTGGTGGAGACGAAGTTTGGCTTGGTTGTGAAGCCAGGAGTGAGTATCTGGACTAAATACAGATCTGAGGCAGGCAAGTTAGCAAGTTAGTCACAGAATAGAATCATAGAATAGGTTGTGTTAGAAGGAACCTCTTATAATCATCTTGTCCAACCCTGCTGCCAGGGACAGGGACATCTTCAAGTATAGGGAGGTTTCTCAGAACTCCAAGCTGATCTTGAATATTTCCAAGGATGGGACATCCATTACATCTCTGCACAACTGTTCCAGTGTTTTGCTATCCTCACCATAAAAAAATTCTTCATTATATCTTAAGTGTCATCCCATATGCTGAGCTTGGCTTGACCCTACACAATGTAACACATTTCAGATTACCAAAGTTCCTAAATTGGTCCAAATTGGCCATTAGCTGAACCATCTATTGTGACTAATGTGCTCTTCATGCTGCCAGTGAAGTGTGCTAGTCTGAAACCCAAAAGGAAGTGGGAACCACTCAAGAATACTGAGCTGGGTCTGGATCTTTGTCTGTCCCTTATCATGAGGGTTTTGCAATTAAGTGCTCATGTACACCCATGTCTCTCAATGTCTTTGAAAAAATATGTAAGCAACAGAATGGTGCTCAGGCTGTTTCCTTCACTATTCTCAATGAATGTAGTTGCACCCTTAACAAAGTTGTCCCAAAATGAATGAATAGTTGGTAATCTCTGTTTCCAGCTTTGGTGTGAGAGCCAGCCCAAAGAGGGTCTCCTGGCTCCGCTGGCTCCCCTCCTACCATTCTTTAGTCCACTATCCTAGTGGCGGTACAAAGGCTTTCTCCCTGCTGTGAGCAGGGATGATCACACCTAAGGCTACATTTATATTCCATTATCTCAAGTGTTAGTTCAACCAGGTAAAATCAGTTACCTTGTCCTTCTCTCCCCCTGTGCGTTTCAGATACTGCACCAGGAAAATCTGTGTTTCTCAGAAGAGCCTTGTTCTCCACTGCTGTTTTGACCAGGATCAGGTTGGTGGTAGCCTGCCTGCTGCATCCTCCAGAAGTGCTCAGCCTGGGGGCTGCCCTGCCTGAGCAGGGGGCAGAGGGCTGACAGGGATTTTCTAGCTGTGCCCTGCCCTCTATGTCACAGTTAACCTCTTGGAGCCTGAAGGAGGTGACCAGAGGCACTGGTGCCAAGATGCAACTCCCAGGCACTACTGCTGTTGCTATTTATAATTTCCCCTGCCTGTGCCATGTGGATAGGATAATAGGATAGCTGTTCTGCTAAGCAAGCTGTATTTGTTTTTACCACTGAAATATCTTGCTTTGTCATGGTTTCCTTACTTTAATAAGAAGCTTTTTTTTATTATTAATTAAATGTCTCACTAATTTCTATAAACAAGGAGGGTGAGGCACATGTGAGAGAAATTTAAAACATATTCAGTGAAATCCAGTGTCACAGAGAAGAGGTGTAGAGACTGCAAACTGACCGTGACTCACCACTTCATCAGTCTGAAGAACCACATCCAGAGAGGGCAGTATTTGCCATTTGATGGCTCCTCCTTTGTGCACTGTTGGTGGCCTGATCCAGAGGTTACTGGCTCCTTATACTGACTTCTGTGGGAATCTTCATGTGCTTTTTTGTCCCTTTGCTGGACCAAGGTTGGAGTGCTTTGTGTGCTAAATGACAGAACCTGTCAGGTTGACCTGTCATTAGTTTCTCTGACAGCAACAAGGTTTGAAACATTTCTCTGAAATCCAGTAACAATCCAGAAGGGAACGAGATCCTATCTGCAAGAGCTTGCCTGGAGAGCTGAATGGAAAATTATAGCCCTATAACACTATTTACAGAAGACTAGTGCAAGAACTTTTTGGCTAATTAACACTGCCTACCTTGACTTTTGAAAAGCAGAACTGTAATTTACAGAGGGGCTTGATCCGGAAGCTGGGATCTCAAAAATTGCGTATGTTCCTGTAAACATCTGATTCATGTCCAAAATTTTCTGCTAGTTTCCACTTCACTGTATCTCAGGACTGAATGTGGGAAGATGGGCTCTGCTTCCCCTGAAGTTCAAGCTGTGTGGGTCTGGTCACCTCTCCTATTTCACCTGTACAGCTATTAATCCAGCCTGAGTCCAACCTGTATTTACTTGATAGGCTGAATTCAAGCTGATGGTTACAAGCCTGTATCCTGAGAGGACCTTTCTCCCAGCAGTGGCAGAATCCTCCTTGCAGACCTAGGCAGCTTGTCGCCCCAAAACAATATGGGGTGGAAAGCCACATTTAGGGTGTGTAACAAAAAAGGAAATTTAAGAAAGCTGTCTCTCCTAACTTGTTGCCCTGTGATGTCTCGCATGCAGGTGACCACAGCAATCCAGAGGAGCTTATTTTTTTGTGCAAAAAGCTGACTGCTCCTTTCCTGAGTTCTCCTTCAGCCTCCACTTTTTAAACAGTTGATTTTCATCCCCTTTCTGTGAGTAACAAATTAACGGCGCACAGATCTCACTGCGTTTACTGGTTCTCTGGCTTCCTTCCTGTTGCTTCACACCCTTTAAAGGTTTTAGAAGAAGGTAACAGCAGAACAGGAAGGGTTGTCCTTAAATGCTGATCTCCCTTTGCTGATCTCCAAATGGCCGTGTCCTGCAACCTTCATGGAGGAAAGGAAGGATGTCACTAGGCTTTTAAATTCACTTCATTTTCCTGGCAGCACTGCCCCTCTGCCCAGGGGAAGTTACATCTCTTGGGTCTCCTACCATCCACTTTCTTGTGGCACAGGGCAGGAGACTGCTCTTTTCTCTGTGTTAAAATGTGCAAAATGATTACTCTTGAGGACAGCTTCTCCTCTAAACCATGTGGTGCCATGAAGGAATGTTCAAGATTGCTCCCAGTTGGATAGGAATAACTGAATCAAAAAACCTCAACCTACTTCCACCAGTCCATCCCCTCAGACATGTTCCCCAGGCATGTCCCCAGAGCACAGCCCCTCTCTCTGCAGGCTGCCAGGTGATGCTGCTGCTTGCAGGGCATCCTGCCCCTGGGCTGCAGTTGGGCTGGGTGCAGGCAGAGGAGAGGCTAATGTTGACATTACCACCTGCTGTGGTCCACCACTGCATGTCTCCTGTACCACCACACTGCTGGGGATGAGAGGGAATGAGGTGTGTGGGAACAGACAGCCTGTCCTGCAGGTACTGTGCTGTGAGTGCTGGGGAATCACTGTGTTCATGCTTGTAACTCCACCATCAGCTTGTGACCAGTGACTAAATAACCTCAGAGTCAATTTTTTACTATTCCAGCACATGAGCTCCTTTTTTAGCAAGACAATGTGGCCCCTGGGAGGCTCCAGCACTGATGAAGCAGCTGTCTTGCTGGATTTCCCCTCCTGCTGCTGATGAAAACCACTGCTTCCTTCCACAACCCCCTCCAGCCCAACCCTGTCCTGTTCCCTGGGGTAGCCAGATGCCTGCTGATCTCCCCAGTGCTACCTCCAGCCCCTGCTAAAAATACCAAGTCCCCCACACCATTTTTTGCTCCTGATCTCTTGCATCCCTAGGTGAAGGACAAAGGAAAAAACTGGTATATGTGAAATGCTCTGAGGGAAGTCTCGGTGTGGCACAAGGAGAAGAGGGTTTCAGGGCTCCTGACAGCAGCTGGGCATCACACCTGAGCAGCACTTGGGTACGTTGCTGTTGGTCTTGCTCCAAGCAGAGGTGCTGGAGTGATGGCCAGGCACATGGCAACTTCCATCTCTCTTACATAATTCCTTTTTGTGCTTGGTAATGTACCTGGCTATGTTCCTATGTTCAAAAGGATGCTGGTGGCTTTCTGAAGGCAAATAAATACATGTGCTCCATCAAGAGTGATGCTGCCCCTCTTCTTC